GAGCAGGAGACAGTCCCGACAGACTGGAACCTCTCCGTCATTGTCCCAATTTTCAAGGGAAACTCCCGTTTGGAATGCGGCAATCATAGAGGGATCAGTCTGATCTCAATTGCCTCTAAATTGCTTGCCTCTGTCATTCTCCACAGACTGACTGGTACTCGTGAAAGCCAGATTCATGAAGAGCAAGCCGGATTTCGTCGAGGTCGGGGCTGCATCGACCACATCTTCACATTGCGTCAAGTGTTGAAGCACCGCCATGTTTATTGGCGACCCACCGTTGTCGTGTTTCTTGACATAAAAGGTGCCTTCGACTCAGTCGATCGATGTGCCCTTTGGGACTGTCTGTTGAGGAAAGGTGTGCCTGATAAATATGTAAACATTATCAAAGCGCTGTACGCACATAGTTCGGGCAGGGTGAGGGTTTATGGCAAACTCTCGCCACCCTTCAGTATCACCAGCGGTGTGAGACAAGGATGCCCGCTGTCACCTTTCCTCTTCAACTTCGCTATTGATGAAGTCATGGAAACAGCGTTCGCTGGACACGACCTAGAAGGTGTGGAGCTACTCCCTGGTGAGCGACTTCTTGACTTGGAGTATGCAGACGATATTGCCCTAATCTGTGACGGATCCCAAACATGCCAAACAGCACTGAACCGATTAGCACTGGCTGTCAGTCGTTTTGGGCTATGCTTTGCTCCATCAAAATGCAAAGTACTTCTCCAGGATTGGCAGGGACCCAATCCTGCGCTAACGCTTGGTGGTGATCTGCTAGAAGTCGTTCAGGAATTCAAGTACCTGGGCAGCTATATTAGCACCCGTGGGATTGAAGATGAGGTTACGAACCGTATAGCAAAAGCTCGAGGTGCTTTTGCCAATCTCCGCCACCTGTGGCGCAGACGCGACATTACTCTCGCCCTGAAGGGCAGAGTTTACAACGCAGCCGTCCGTTCAACTTTCCTATATGGTTGTGAAACCTGGCCCATCAGGTCGACTGACATGAAGAGGCTCGTCACATTCGATCATCGCTGCCTTCGCAGCTTAGCTAATGTCTGGTGGGAACACCGCGCGAGCAATGAACGTGTTCGGCGTCGCGTATTCGGTGCAGGAAGAGCGAGTGAACCGCTCAGCACCATTATGTCACGCACCAGGCTCCGATGGCTGGGCCACGTGTTGCGCATGCCAGCACACCGACTCCCGCGACGTGCATTGTTTGCGCGTTGTGGGTGCGGTTGGAAGAGGAGGAGGGGAGGCCAAGTGATGACTTGGTCGAGAGAAATGAAAACCCTCACTTCGAAGTTGGCGTCGGTTGGTGCATTCCGACTGCCTGGCTGGGGTCCTAAGGACGTTTGGTTGGACACACTTGCTGATATGGCTCGGAGCCGGTATCAATGGCGTTTGTGTTGTGATTTCCTTTGCCCATCCCCCTCCTGTTTAATATCCCCCTCCAATCACGATCTCATCTGTTAGGCATAATATGATTCTCTTTTTACGGCAGCCAGTTGTTAGCTCTCCGGAACGATGTCCATCCGTTACTGGGGACTCAGCGGGCGTGCCACTGTTTTCCTTTTCTTGTCTTTTGTATTGCGGCACAATAGCTGAGGTGTTTTCCACCTCCAGCTAACGTGTAATGATGATGATGGTGTACCCAACCAAAGATGTTCATCATTCTTCGGACCCCAGCCAGTCAATCGGGAAACACCAACCGACGCCATCTTCGAAGTGAGGGATTTCATTCCCCTTGAATAAGTCATCGCTGGGCTTCCCCTCCTCTACTTCCATCCAGAACCCGGGCGCGGAAACAACGCACGATGCGGGAGTCGGTGTGCTGGCATGCGCAACACGTGGACTAGCCATCGGAGTCCAGTGCTTGAGCGATTCACTCGCTCTTACTGCACCAAATACGCAACGCCAAGCACGCTAATTGAGCACGCGGTGTTCCCACCAGACATGAGCTAAGCTGCGAAGGCACCGATGATGAAAGGTAACTAGCTCCTTTATGTCGGCTGATCTGATGGGTCAGGATTTGCAGCCATACAGGAGGGTTGAACGGATGGCTGCATTGTAAACTCCGCCCTTCAGAAGGAGTGATTTCACGTCGGCGCCACAGGCAGTGGAGAGTAAGCAAAAGCACCCAGAGCTTTCGCTATACGGTTCGTGAACTGATCTTCAAACGCACGGGCTGAGGCACAGAAAGCCAACCGAGATCTGCCAACGCGAACAACTGTGATTGCACGAGTGAGATAGACAACACTAAGTTGGTGCGTCCTAGCATGAAGGAACCTCAACGCTGCCCCATACGGAGCAGGAATGTGATGGGCCGAACGTGGTGGACGAACAGTGCGTGCGAGCCAGGGAGAAATTGCGTAGCTGAAACATGGCGAACAATGAGAACGATACGGTGAAAACTATTGATGGCGGAATAAAGATTGTATATCGTATAAATGACAAAGATAAGACGATTGTTGCGCAGGCCTTGCTTTGATTCCAGTAGGATTACATACATTCGGCGGGGATGTCCAATAGACAATACCAAACGACGTCATAACTATTCAAGGCAGTCAAGTTGAAGTGCCGCATTGTTGAGAACAACAGCAACAGGTCAATGAGACTGACAAGGCTAGTGACATTGAAAATATGTTGTACCATTCGAGTTTAGTGAACTCAGATTCCAAGAAACGTATCCGTAAGGGAAACAAGAAGTGAAAAGAATGGGCAACTGGTTCACTCCCAGCCACACCGACTTAACGTTGGGCCGACAACCTTGAAGAGCAATACAGTCATCGTGGAACATCAGAATTGCTAGTTGGATTGTCTGTACAATTCTGGGACATGGATGCAACAAGTTCCGTCATCAACAAGATTCCGTACGAAGTAGTGTTGCGTAAGCGGAGCAAAGCGTCTGGTACAGACAACCTTGCATCACAGTTGCTAAATGAGGGCTGTGGCGCACTAGCGACTAATTTGGACTTCCCGTTCGACGCAAGGAGAGAGTACCCTCCGACTTAGGGCAGTCGACTGTCATTCCCATGTTTAAAAAATGCCGAGGAACGTACTATGACAAGCGTCATAACAGGCTGATCTCAAAAGTCTGTGAACTAATGACTTGCATCACACTGCAGCAAATCATTGATCCTCGTAAAGAACGGATCACTGAAAGTCAGACAGGCTTCCACCCTGGTAGAGAGCGCACTGACCACACGTTTACCATTTGACAGGTACTTGAACGTTATTATCCCTATGAATACCCAGTAAAATAGTCTTTTGGACTTGAAAAACGCTATTAATTTGGCTGATCACAAATGTGGTTCTGGTGTGTATCTATGAAAGGTGTACCAGAGAAACTCCCTATACCAAACTTTCCATGACATTGTTAGAGGGAACCATCAAAAACTCTTCCCTTAGTTCATCATAAGCTGAGTGAGTTAGTGCGTCACCATTTCTCCATTTATTACCAAATTTGCGGTCGAAATGATTGTGAACGATTCGTTCTGGTCTTTTTCCAATGCACTTGGAGTGCATGTGTTGCTAGACTGTTAAATTCAAAAGGCAGAACGGGCGGATGGTATAATTCTCTTTGGATTGGACGCAGCTGTTATGTAAACGTTATGGACAGTAGGAAGCGAAGTGCTGCACACTTCGGTGTGTGAGTGGAATATTCAAAGCGAAAATTGTTGTTATAGGACTGGGTCAACTTACCACTAGTACTCACTATCACTGAACGACCGCATGAGGTTTCCTGTCGGTATACCTATACAGTAGCAGTTCTCCAAAAAGAGTACTGCATACAATGCAAACGTGCGTCTTCGGCCACCTGTGCGGACGGTGGGATGTGAGCGCGACCAGTGTGAGTCCACAAATCAAAGACCTAGTCGTAGGGTGCAGAGGACGTCAGCAGACTGCGTGTTTTGGACACCGATGACTGACAGGAGAACCTAATGAGCAACATAAATTCTACATTTAGTGCATCACTAGAGTGAGTGTCCCTAAAACCCGAATCGCTTTGGTTGGCATGATCATGTGCTTACCATGTCTACGAGCCGGCTGTCTTGGTGTGGACTGTTAACTAAAACTGCGCCTAATTGGAGGTAGCCGGTTGACAACATGGTAAAAGTATTCGATGCAGGAAGAGCGACTGAACGGCTCAGCACCGTTATATCACACAGTAGGTTCAGAAGGTCGGGCTCTGTGTTACGCATGACAGCACACCGACTCCCGCGAAGTGCATTGTTTGCGTAAGCGGTGTATGGATGGAAGAGAAGGTGAAGTCAACCAATGACCTGGCCAAGGGGAATGGAGACCGTCACTTCAAGATGGCGTCGGTTGGTGTTTCATGACTGTCGCGCTAGGGTCCCAAGGACGATGGACTTGTTTGATTGAAGACACTGATTGACAGGATCAGGAGCCGACCTAAATGGCCTTTGCATTGTGAGATTTTATGTTCGCTCCTCCTCCCGCTTATCTTCCCCCTCCAACCACGACCCCCCAAAGTCGATGCGTAATATGATACTTATCAGTACATTTCTGGGTTTCTTTGATTTTACTATTCTGTAATGCTTAGTATATCGCTTTTTCATATGCCTTATATGTCTGTACTGCGCTTCCAGAGCTGAAGTGTATTTATCACCTGAAGCTAACCTGTAGAATGATGATAACGATGATGAAAAGAGCAAGAAGGAACCAGCCAAAGAGGTGAGTTGAGTTGGTGCCTGTCTTCTGCCCGGATGGAGTCCTCGGGACCAGTCACACGTGAATGGGCACACCTTACAGGATATGGCACCGTCACCAGGTCAGTGAAGTATTGCATTGCATTCATCGCCACATTTCAGACTCTTGACTATGGGATCCGCTTATTTCCCTTGCATTATTTTTGACATTTATTATTATTATTATTAGCAGTAGTAGTAGTAGCAGCAGCAGCATTAGTGACGTGTGTTAGAGTAACAGGATCCATTGCACATCGGCGCGCGGATCACAGTTGCTAAGTTGAGTAGAACACTCACCTCCTGGATAGATCGGTAATACTCTGCGTTCGACATGCCGAGAAAGCCTTCAGAATATCGATCTGGATCACTGAGAACAATGCTGGCAATCAACTCGCGCATTTGCGCCACGGCGGCAGTGTTTGTAACAACTTTGGTGTCGATAGACTTGCGTCCATCGGCATTCTCGATGCAAAACAGGACACTGGTGAATAGACAAGAGTTATCCGAAGGTGCTGTCAACCGGACGATATGGGGAGCAGATTCAGTGGAGACCGGATGGCTGTGTGCCACTTGATTTCGGGACTCGGCCAAAACGGTGGAGGCACGATTGGGCGGTAACATCGGTTCGACAGTGAGTACATCGCCGGATAAAATTGGGACCTATTGAATAGGTATTCAAGAAAAGTATCAAAATAATAGGCAGTGAGGAGATGAAAGGCAAAAGCAGGATGATGATCACATATCAACACGAAACAAAAACATCATTGCTGCATGCAACCCCGTCTCCACTGCGCAGTCGGAAAGTGTATGAATAGGGGATGATCTCTGTCATGCGATAAGCAGTTGTTCAGACCCAGAGTGATCAAATACCGTCATGTAACATTGTTTTCCAAACCAAGCGAGGAATAAAGTTCCGGAAGTGAAGGAGTTAGCTGAGAGAAAAAACACTGAGGCACACTTCCTGAGGTGCCGCACTATAGAAGTAGAAACTTGAAAGGTGTATACCGGATTCGAAAAGCATGGTTATGTGGCAGGTAACACGGTACTGCGACAGTCAAAGACAAAAAGACACCACACAAGGAGCGGTGAAAGGGTTGATGTCACAGCACCAAACTGGTGAAAGCGGAGGGCAGAACTAGGAGTGTACAGCGTTGGCCACGCTTGAAGTTAGCTGTTAGGCTAGGAGAAGTATACGCAATATTGATAAGACCATGTTCGTGTAAGGAAGGAGGGCCGATAGGATCGGGACAATAAAACGTCATCTTACCATGTATTGGAGTACAGGGTAATGTGATAACTAAAGAAGTCTGCAGATGCAACTCGTCACTGCCGGTATAGTTTCAGTAAGTACAGTAATGCTAACCGGATCAGTGCACTACGAATGCACATAAGCGTCCAATAACGACTGAATACTTCTCTGCACAGCAGTAACATGAAAGTCAGTGGATAATGAGTGGCGCTATATCCCATCCAGTAACTTAGTCATGACGATCGTTGCAGTCCCCACGTAGTTCAATGATCCTAACCACGACTGGCAACAGTCAAGTTGCGAGTGCAAGCTACACAGGGGTTAGATAGAAGGCACATAGCTGAGGATCCTCGAAAAGAGGAAACAGCCGTACAGTGCTTTTTCTGGCGTATGGTGGCTGAGTCCAGATGTGATGAATTTCTACGTATACCACTTAAATCTCCCTGCTAATTCATTGTAATCAGCAAGCCACTGATAGTAATGACAACCACACTCAAACATAAAAGTATGGCTCGTAGCTTCAAGGTTGTTGACCAATTCATTTAGCTTAGCAGCTGTATCAGTAACGATGAGTGTATAGCTTTCGAGGTCAGTTCACGTACTGCAAAAGCCAGAACTGCCTTTGTGAACCTGCGACATCTTTGGGGACAGAAAGGGGTTTCTCTTCGCTTGAAAGACCGTGTTTAGAATGCCACAGTAAGGGCCGTCCTGCTCTATGGTAGTGAAACAACTCGTTCGATCTGAAGACCTGTGGCTCCTTCAAGTCTTTGATAATCGCTGTCTGCGGAGGATTGCTGGTGTCGGGTGGCGCAAGCGTGTCCGCAACGATGATGTGCGTAAGCGAGTACTAGTTCCTTAGAACAACTGAATAAATTGCGCTGGCTTGGGCACGTACTACGTATGCCCGGTCATTGCCTACCGAGGAGAGCCTTCTAGTGTCTGCCAGGTGTAGGGTGGCGCAAGGCTCGAGGTGGACGAACAATGACTTGGCAGCGGGAAATGAAGTCACTGACGACCAAACTGGGTGCTGTCGGTCCGTCTCGCCTTCCACGCTGGAGTCCACGTGACTCGCCTTGTGCTTGGCTCAAGACTACAGCACACGGCCCGTGTCCAGCACCAGTGGCGCGTCTGCTACCGTCTTGCAGTCGGACTGTTTGTTTAACGTGTGTTTGGTGCTGAGTTACTTGCGAGATAATGGCTGATCATGACGCAGGCAGGGCGAGCCACAAAGAAGCTGTCTCATCGAGGCCGCCTTTCCTTTGCACGATACCCAGTTGTTTGTGACGCACGTTGTTGACAAGATGTAGGCACCTTGACTCTGAATGTTTGCTTAGGGCATTAAGGTTTTCCGGTAAGTCCCCCTTCTCTCCCTTTTATTAGTTTTCGTTCCGTAGGTCGTTATGGTTGTATGACAGCGAAGCATAAGTTCAAATGGCCGATGTACTGCTATTGATGATGATGATGAGCTTCCAGCACTGTAAGCCCCGTCTGGACCCATACAGCAATAACAAGAGAAATGGCGACGAACACAAGGCGCCTAGGTGCATTTAGATGCAGCGAAAAACCTCAAGGAAAAACCAAGTCGGATTGCCATCTATCATTTTCTTGAATGTGATTCTCAAGATGAGTCGCAGGTTGTCGGACATCCAACCGGTGATAGTTAAATCACAAAATCTCTTGAATCAGTTCACACAGTTCCGGCTTTTAACTATTTCAATTATGTTAATTTTTGTCCGTCTCTTTTGAACTGGACAAAGTAAATCAAATCGAGGTAGATTTTATGTACCCGAATGTGGACACTTTCAGCACACTTTCCACTCGACTGCACAAGGGCTAAAACAACTTCAAAAAGCGAAAAAAAACTTGTCAATGGAAGGAGTACACATATATCCTCACCGAATAAACGGTCCCACACCAGCGAGTCAGCGTGAGAAGCACGGTTGGACAGAATTATGGCACGACGCAGCGGGGGGGGGGAATACAAATATAAAACGAGTGGAAGAAACGGAGAGCTGCTGGCAAATCATCGAGAAGTGAGTGAAAAGTATTCAAAACCTCGAAGAATGATGCATGCATGCATCGAAATGCTCACTGACATGAAAATCAACCAGACAATCTCTAAATAAGGAGATGTATCTAAAAACAAGCCGTATAGATGGCACAGGCAAGATTCAGCTCTATCGAACAAGGCCATGGTAGATATTTATTCACAATTCTGAGAACTGACAAATATGTCATCGGAATCATGGCTGTAGTGGAACATAAAAGGTTTGGCCAACAAAGAGAAACAGTATGTTGTTTTTAGTATTTCACACAAGCCGTTTTGACTTTTTGTCTAAAACTGAAATTTGGCTGAAGCAGAACTATTAAAACAACGTTGATGCCACTGATTTTGATAGCGAGCCAGAGCCTCCAAAACTTTCAACCATTTACAGTCCTTATCACGTGGTCCCCAATTTGAAAGACGGACAGATCCTGCTGACGTCCAACATGAGGTGACATGCTTGATGTTCCTTTTCCACGTCATCGGTTGTCCACTCGGGCATTTCCTCCACTCTCGTCCAAGAAGTGCAAATAATGCTCGGGGAGGAAGTCGACTGGCTGGCATGCGTAATACGTGACCGAGATAACGTAAACGGTGTTCGAGAATAATACCCGGGATGCTGGGATTGTTCAATGTTCTCGACGTCTAACTTCCGATTCGCTTACATAGTGTTGCGACCACACACGAGCAAGCGTTCACAAGCAGCAGTTGTTGAATGATGACAGTCGTTACAGGTCTTCCGCGAGAACAGGCCAGGTCTCGCAGCCATACAGCAGGACCACACGAACAGTGGCACTGTACACTCTGCCTTTGAGTCTTAGACTGATGTCGCGACGCCGTCACAAGTGTCTCAGGTTAGTGAACGCCAGGCAGGATTTAGCGATTCGCTGAGATACTTCATCTCCAACAATGCCACCGAACAAGGCGAGGGAAAATAACAGGAGAGTACAGTCTGGAGAAAAACGCAAGCATTGCTGTTGACAGTAGCAGTAAGATTAATTTGGACACGTGAACCAGGGCAGCTAAAGCTATTTCACCTCGGAGTGCACGGTTTATAGTTGATCAAGTAAACTGCACACAACTACCAGCTATTGACGTTAGTAGATTGTAGCGGCAATGATACTGGCAAATGTTGTGCAGGCAGGGGGCTCTTGTGGTGTTATCAGATGTGCCGAACTAGAGGTAAAGTATATACAACGTCAGATCAAGCAAGGAGAGTAGCAGACGTGCCGAGTGGATACAAGTGCACATAACCGTTAAACAAACGACAGTTTAGTCCAGTTCCGTCGATCAATTATGAGATGGGCCCAAATGGCCTGATTTAGTTTTTTGAAGCAATAGTGTAGTTAATAACATTGAAAGGAATGGACAAAAATAAACAACCGAGAAAATAGTTAATAAGCAGAAATGATGGAACGTATGCAACAGTATCGCCGAATTTGTGACTACCCCACATCCGACAATTGTGACAGAGTCCCGGAACACCATTCAGGAGAACGACAAGTACAATCCTAACTTAGCCTTTCGACGAGATTCGCCATGCTCTTTTTAATGTCATTGACCAGCCGCTTAGTGGTTCCACCCTATTAGGTGCAGCACAGACGTAATTGTTTAGGGTTCACTGCTCCATTTGTTGGGAGATCCTCCTAACAGTAATACACACCAAGTTATTCGAACTGCACGCATGACTTCGTTAGCGTAGGCGATTCCAGTTAAATAACTACCGCAGACGTCCGGGTGTTAATTGTCGAACACCAAATGACGAACTTGCACAACTTTGTTCCCCAGCTATAGCGGCGAAATTTGATTCGCTGTCTTACACCGAGGGAAGGTAAAAACCTGCCCTAAAACCACAGATGATGAGCTCATATTCATTCAGAATGTGTGGCATAAAGATGGGTACCCTGATAGATTCATCTATAAGAACGTTCCGGAGCAAATGCGAACCGGTGCGAGTTTTTAATGGTGAGAAGAGAGCTATCCACAAAAGTGCCCTTCAAATGGGGTGCAGTGGCGGAACGCTTGGCTAGACATCTATCATATACAGTTAAATCCATCTTCATAGCGGAGAGCCTGAAATGTACGTTCTCCACAGAACCGCGCACGCATTGGCGAATCAAAGACATGCTGCCAAAGTTGACCGCGTCTATGGTTAGAGTGCGCTTGTGACGTAACGGACGTCGGTCGAACAGCGTGTCACTTGTTCAGACACGTCTATGTGCACTCTTCAAACTGGTCGGATCAAAGTGTTACCGAGGTTATTAACATCTCCATTTTGGATCAGCTTACCGGTACCGGGAGTCAAGTAGACGCGAAAGGTACTTTTCGGGTAACCTATAGAGTCTGTCCGCTGCCATCAAAAAGCCTACGTTTGCAAAAGTCGAAGTAATCCGCACTCGGCTGTTACAGCCGCTTTTATGAGCACAGAAGAAACTGATCCGGTCTCTGTAGCTGCTTTGGTCAACAAGTGGAAAACGCTGGGACCAGCTGCATTGGATCGAAAAATGCTGATGCTATGGATCGAGTCGCTTGTAGATAGAAGCAAGTAGTAGCATGAAGCGGAAAAATATTGGGTGTTGTCCGCCAGAAAACACAAGGAGGATAACACCCCATGTCAACCTGCTTCATCAATTGGGGTCCCAGTGATCGAATTGACCAAGTTTCACTTCAATACGAAACACAGTCTACATCGAGATTGCGCGTCGTAATCCAATCACAAGTGCAATTCAAAATGACCCTCCAATAGGTAATATTACGCACAGTTCCATATTATACATCGACAGTGTGGTTGGGGTTGAGACAAAGGGAGTCGCAACATAAATAAGAATGTGATCGGCTATACACCGTGTCAACAGGTGTACCTAACCAAACAGCTTTACTGTCTTCCGGACTCCAACCACAATGTCCAGAGACTCCAACCCAGACCAACCTCAAAGTGGAGGCCTTCATTTCTATTGAATAAGCCATCGTTTGACCTCCCCTCCCCTTCTTCCATCCCCACCCAGGGCGCGTAAAAACCCCGACGTGGGAGCCGGTGTGCTGGCATGCGCAACACGCGGCGCAGCCATCGGAGTTTGGTGTGGGAGACCAAGGCGCTGAGCGGTTCATTCGCTCATCCTGCAACAAATACAAAGCATCAAACATGTTGAATGCGCACGCGGTGTTCCATCAGAAATGAGCTGAAGTGTGAAGGCAGCGATGGTCGAACGTGATTAGCCTCAGTATGCCTTTCGCAACTGTACAGTAGGGTTTAATGGAAGGTTGCATTATAGAAGACGGTAGCACTTAAGTGTAAAGACCTCATCTCTATTGGACAGGTACTTTTGATTAACTAGTTAAATAGGACAGGTGTATCAGGCACCAACGCCAAACCCGTAAGGAGATAAAGTATAAATAGGGCAATGTGGGTTGATGCTGAGCAAACTGCACAATGGAGATGCGAATCAGATTCCCGATTGAATCAGTGGTACACTGGATTGCATGAATGCAGGAACTGAAGACTACCTGTCAGTGACTGGCGTTTCAACGACGACCACATCGAAGGTGGTACTGGAAACCAAGAACTGGGTATCATAGAAAATCAGTGGGTGGACACGTTAGTGATCGAATCGGCGCATGCTGTCCACAATGCTTCGTTGGATTTCAAGAGACCCATAACAAAAAAGGAAGCTAAATGCAAAGGAAATTGGAGAAAGAACAAACGCATAAGAAGGCTTAAGCATCCTGTCGGTAAAATACAGTACCTAGCCGGATGAAACCTCTGTGACCAGTGAAGGACATGAAGAAACCTACCGGAAGGTCTAGTCGTATTAATACTTGTCGTGTTTCTAAAAGGATTAGCCACATACATGGCTGCACACCGCACCGGATGCAAGTGGCACTCTTGTATTCCCTCCCCCGTTTCGGACCCTTGATCGTTCCATCTGACGAGTTCAAATCGTGTTCAGCCCAGTCAATTTGTTATCATTATTACTAGTGTTACTATGGTGAGACGTGTTAGGTAACCGGATCCGCCGTACCTCTGCGCACACATCAAAGCTAAGAAACTGAACTGAAGTACGGTGCACGTACACATCAAGGTGGAAGTAAGGCAAGAAACTTTGTGTCACAAGCTAATGCCTACGTTCGAAAGGCAAATATTGACATTTTGCAAAATGTCAGGAGGCACACGTTCAACGAGGTGTCACCCATTGTACTGGGTGGTTAAGAGTGTATAGACCTAGGGTCAAGGTGCAACACAACCGATATAGAATAAGAAGTGCAATAACACAATTGTGGTATGAAATTAAAAACGAACCTTACTTGTCTAAGACGCATGTTCAGTGATTCATCGGAGCAAATGATTCGTCTGGGTGGATACCCAACGGAGATCTTGAGATGTGCAGGATTCACTTCGACCACAGAGCTCAGAGAGTTCAGCAAGTCCCTGACACTGGACTCGCTCGTCAAATCGGTAATGATACATTGTCCAGAGGGATATTTACATTTTAGCCTCAAAGGAACACCGGGAATAACAGGTTTCCGGTCAGGGTTAAAATGGAAACCCTGTGAATCGGCATCCTAAAAAAGAGGATGCGGTTAGTAAACGGAAACAAGAGCTCAGGAAAAATCGCATGACAGGAAAAATCATTTACTCAGAGCCGCAAGATTCTGTGCAATCATATCGATAACATTGGGCTTTAACACGGATTTGATAATGTCCACAGTCAGCGAACTGCGTGAAGCAGGAGGGGGGAGAGAGTGTAACAGTGAGATAGTAGGGGGGAATAGGTTCTCAATTTTTGTCTGAGGCACTTCATGCCAAATGGGCCCGACTTCTATGGCTGAAGCAACAGACGAGTCAATACGATGGATCCGAGAAAGTAGGTCACGGATATGCGCGCTGAGTAGTTGGAACCAGTCGGCGGAAGTGAACACTTCTCTTTCACTGGGATGCATCAAAGCTGTCGATTGAGGAGGGTTGCAATTTGTGAGGAGAGAAAAACCAATGAGTTGGGTCAGAGCTTCCCTCAGTCTGATGTGATCGTCTAGCTCCGGTTGGTCGATCCACCAGTTGACAGAGCACGTGGTAAGGCTGTCGGAAGTAGATTGCACGAAATGCCACCAACCCCGTGGTACAAAAAGAACATCACCCGGTTCCATGACGACAAAACGAGGGGATACTTTGGAAATAAGTGGATGCACCGTATAATCAGGAGTTGGAAAATTGACTTCACTAAACACGGTGGACTCCTCTAGGGGGACACGAGTTTCGTATAAAAACGGGCTGTCGGATGGTGGAAAAAGCGTCCAGGATTTCTTGCCAAATATTTGCACGACCAAGTTGACACCATAAGTGTCGTAATGACAAATACTGTTAGCTCCCGAAGATCCTAACCAAAATGTAGAGCTGACTTGCCGACCCATCAGGTCGAACGCATCACCCCATGGAATATCCTGAGCTAGTTTTGTGAGTTTGCACGAATCCATATAAACATAATCAGCATATGCCCACCAATGTTCAAGGGAATATTGGTGAAAGGGATTGTTTGGAGTGGAAACTCCGTTTAACCAATCACGGAAATTTCCCACTGAGGCAAAAACAAAATCGCAATCCGGCTCCCATTGGACACTGGTGGTGTTCCTTTGTGACATACGAAATTTTAATGGAAGTTCCAAGAATTCATCTAGGTAATCCAGCGTCCACAATCTACAAGCGGGCCAATGGGAAGCCAAAGACTTTGCCACAACGGGAACAACATGGTTTGGTATGGCCAAGGGCATGGCACTGTCAAGCTCCTGGGAGAGTTTACAGGCAGACAAAAGAAAACATCCGTTCAATCCAGTAAGCCAAAGTGTTAACTTGCTGAAACCGATGAGTTCTGCTTGGGAATAGGGATGTTAACGGAGAAAGAACGAGGTTTTGTGTCTACTAGTTGCTCCGGATGAATGCCTGAAAAGGTGCATCAGAAAATTTATAGTGATTTTAAAAGTGACAGTGCTTTGAATGAGAAGTGAGACTATGTGCATCGGAATCTTAATATATCCTGCAAGAGAACTGAGCTACAATCAATTTACTGTTCAAAACGAGTATATAACAATGGGCAAAGTTTTGTGGAGAAGTATGCAGTAGCTGCTCTACACAAGTGGATTATCACAATGTGAAGACAAAGGTAGACATTTAAAGAGAGAGATTGTAGGAAAAAGTTAGTATTTAGCATTTGTATCCAAACATGATGACATGCAACCAAGTTGGGCGGATAGTTAATTACACTGTCAGCATTGGCTCTAACACAAGCACGGTACATCAGATGTCAGTGCCTGGTTGTCCCGCAGCTGAAGAAAGGGATGACAAGTGGAACAAATGACAATTCTAGAAACTCGATTCGATAAACAAAAGGAATGGTGACTCCAAGCAAAACGAAAGGGAAAACGTCATATAAGGAAGTATTTCTATCCACCGATATGAAAGATGTGACTAGGATGCCGGAGAAAGACAGTGACGTATAAAGCCTGAACAATTGATCGACTATCCGCGTTTCTTCGTCGTCTCGTTGGCTGGGCGATCCGTAGCGCCCTAAAAGATAATTATTACGTTGAAGTACTACCGATTGACTGTACCCTATTCGTTACTGTATCACTGTCCTCTGCCAGACGGGGACATACATCTCAAAACTTTTCCGTTCGGCGACTCTGACGCTCGTTTCCCATCGCTTCACTCGTTTTCATCCGCTTGCAGCCAATAACGAATATGGTTCGCTGCGCCCGAACTTTGTGCATTCTGGCATCTGCCCTCGGTTACGCGCGCCGTCTCAGACTGGTAATAGTCCTATATGCCGAAGTGTACGCCGAAAAAGTTCGCAACTTCGCTAAACAAAGAACGGCGAAACAACCAGGAGAATAAAGAACATGACCAAGCAGTATCACTGTTGTAAGAAATGCCTTCATTGCTACTCTGTATGCATAGCTCGTAGAAGCAGAGAAAATCTGGTGCCAGAGAAGTTGCAGTCTCATGAAGATAATCCTAGCTTTCGTTACGCGTAAACAACAGTCAGCAGAAAAAGCAGGGAGCGAACAAAAACCACAGAAGACAAAAAGATGAGAGAGGTACAATTATTGTAAAAACAAAACTGAAATTTTCACATGCCGACTTCTTTCTTTTTCGCCACTTCTAAGAGTCGGAGTACTAAACGCATGATTTTAAACGAGCGTACGCATAAGTCCTCCAATGGTTCCAGTTCCGCACCTAATCTTAAAGCGCTTCGAGCCATCAGTATTCTACGTAATTGAGCCTTCCATCAAGGAAACACATGGATTTAACAGCGGCCAGACATGAAGCCGGCGATTTTGTGTGCTGTTGCTAAGTAGAAGGCTGACAAAGTGGCCTCTGCTGATCAGTCTGCAAAGGCAAATAGAGCGCGGTGCGGTAAACACTCACATGATATATGCAGGACGTGCCAGAGCCATCTCGACTGGCGCAGCAAACAAGCCCGTCGAGGGGAATAATCTTACTGTTGAGAATGAAACGCGGTAGAGACGTGTTCATTATTATGGTACGCACGTTTAGACGACATAATATTGTTAATATAGAACAGCTGGGTCCATCTGTTCATCTTATTCGTGGTGTCGTTGAAATTCTCCCTCATGCCACGCGCTTTCATCCACAACGTTTCAGTAGTGGTTGACTTGTGCTCTACGCGCCCTTTTTCTGCAGTGATCCATGATTTCCCTGATTTCATCACCCATTTTCGTTTCTCCCCACACCGATCATTTGTACTGCACCACAGCATTACCCAAGACAAGACGTCTGGTTTAATCGCTGTGAGGTGCATATCAGTAACACACATGGGCGATCCCATTGCGCACGACGAACACCCAAATTGCCTAGGGTTAGCTTCCATCTAATAGTAAAGCGCAAATGGAGGTGTTGCCAACCCCAATTTTTAATGAGACGTCCCGACGATATGGCAAATGTCTAAGGTTGATAAACGTTGAGTGAGGATTAGTAATGCGAATAGGAATCTCCTTTCCAATATGCCTACCAGCAAAAAAGCAAAGTCCCAGATACACGAAGCGCTTCAGACACACCAACATATATCCAGAGTCGACGCATGTAATCCGAAACCAGCGATAGTCAAAGAAGGAACCAAGCTAACCGAAGCTTATAACGATGTGATTTAGTTGTATCTATCGTTAGCTAGCTGCCAACTGGCCCCTTGACAACTGTGACTGAACGCTGTTTAGAAACAGTCAATGTTCGGCACAAAAGCGTACCAAACGCTACCGTCAGTTCTTGAAAATGGGCTCTGTTGTGGCTGATTCATCACGTTGTCCCTCCTAACTCATATTTCCTTGGTTGGCTGAAACAAAGCAACTCACTTCTCACTGGTCGTGTAAAATCCGGATGTTTAAAATTGACATACTGTGTGTTACCTCTAGATTGAGTACCGATACACATCCTGCTTTTCCTGTTGCCTTCTTGATACAACATTTGAAGTTGCGAACCCAAGGATGAACCTTTTTATTCAGTTCCCATCTCAATTTTGGATTCGATCAGCGGTAACAAACCAACATCAGATGCCTGGCTCTATTGGAAAACATCCTTCCAAAACTACCTGGAGTTAATCAGTAACTTCCATTCTGCTCTTGGTGAAGAAAACAGATTGAAGCTGCTTCGACATTTACTCGGAGATGAGGGGCAGCGACAATTTGATGACTTGGGCCTTTAAGGATGTAAATCCGTCAAAGAACATTTCAGTGTTCTCGATCGTACATGGATGTGTTTACTGCAAGAAACGTTTTCCCCCGCATGCATCAGGAAACAGGCGAACCCCTGAATGATTTTATTGCCCGGCTAAGTCGCGCAGTATGACCGTGTGCTTATTCGTCCATCCCCCAGAAGAAGATCGAAGGCTGTATGCTGACAGCAACTGATTACTGGGATAGTTGATAATTGTATACGTGAGGCGCTGTTGCAGGTAGAGGCGTGCACACTAACGTGGGAGAGAGCATGCGAGTTAGCCAGGATAAAAACTGGGATTGCACAGCAATGGAAACAGTTCTGTCCGACCAACTCAGCAATCTTCCCGACAATTACCAGCGGATAAGACATCTTGCTATCGATGTGGAAGTGCTTCTGATAAAGCCAACTTTCCCACTTGTCCCGCACGCGGCCTCAAGTGCAAAAACTGTGGTAAAATTGGACATTACGCCCGATATTGTTAGTCGCAAGCCATTGTACCTATCAACAACAATGCTACACCTGAGGGCCATGTTGCTGATGCATCTTAGGGGAACATTTACTTCATCACCGCTAATGCTAACACTTCACGAATTTTATTGATACCCGTTATTGAACCAGTTTCCCTCCACTGCTATTCGCACTATGTCATTCCTCACAATCAAAGGCGCTGGTCCATTTGAAATGGAACTAGAGGCTGCTTCCCCAGTTACCATTGTACCTTTCCAATTTTACAAACGTTACCTATCCCAGCATGCGTTACAGCCCACTTCACATTCCTTTTGAGTCACAGTGGAAAAACTTTAACCATATTGGGATTCATTATGGTGCTTTTACAGCTGTATTCCGTAGCTGCGGATGTTGCAGTATACATTTCTTCAGAAAACATACGACTCTTACTCGGAAGATATGCCATAGTGGCTTTGTAAGTAGCACCATCTTTCGACCGCATGCTTGTCTCTTCCGTCAACGTGACATAATGACATGAACGTTACCCTGAACTTTTTCAGCAGTCCATCGGAGGTATTCCATGTGGTATGCACCGCATTCAACTGAAGCAGGATGCGGAACCCGTTGTCAATGGTCAACTTTGGCCTATTCCGCTAGCAATACGTCAGACTGTCTCAGATGCCCTGCAAGAGATGCTAGCAAATTTGATTGAACCCATCGACTGCTCCGAGTGGGTGCATCCAATGGTAAGTGTATTGAAAAAAGATAGCACTGTCAGGATATGCAAAGATTTGCAGGGGCTAAATAAACAGATCGTCGTCGAGCGATTCGTGTTGTTATCCAAGGAGGAACTCACTGTACGTTTAGCTGATGCAACCGTTCTTTCCAGGCTACATTTGAGAAGTGTATTCTTCCACATGCCATTGGCCAAGGACTCGAAGTATCTTACTGTCTTCCTTGCTCCCGATGGCTTATTTCAGTACAGTGTTGCCAATGGGCTTGAGCTTGCGTCCGCTGCCTGGCAAAAGTTTATGACTCACGCCATGGCAGGTTGCATACATGGATGATAGCTGTGTTTTCGGCCGCACACAAGAAAAGCATGATGAAAGGTTACACAAAATCCTTCGGTGTCTGTGATTTTGATTTACGTCTGAATGCAAAATATCAATACAATGCCCCCGAGATTCAATTTCTGGGACACATCATATCGTGTGGCGGCACTAGCCCAAGCAACGAAAACATCCGGGTCATCGCAGATGCGCCCATATCCAAGAAGGTGAAAGAACTGAAGTGTTTTTTCGGAATGTGTTCCTACGATCTGGGTTATTCGCAAAATTTTGAGACCTTAGCAGATTCATTGCGACAACTAACAAAGAAAGGAGCGTCATTCACTTGGAGAAGCGAGCAGGAAAACGCTTTCGATGAACTGAAAAGGAGGGTTGCATCTGCTCTCTTAGTTGTTATTTCTGATGAAACGGTGCACTTTTGTGTTGAATGATGCGTCTGATGTTGGTTTCAATGCTGTTCTGTCAGAGCTATAAAACGAACAGTTATTGCTTACGCACCCTGGAAACGCCCGGATTCTGAGCGCCAA